GATGCTGCATTTTTGAGGGCTGCATTCTCTGAGTTTGTGGGTATGCAGTCAGCAAGCCAACAAGAAGCACATTGGGTTAGATTTGCAACCTGCTTGTTAATTTAAGAAGCAACAAGTAAATTAAAATGAAGCATTGGATAGGCTGTGATTCGTAACAAGAGCATCAGCTTGCCAACCTCGTTTCCCTAATTTCTTTCAGGCCGGGCAGGCCACAGGCAACATCAGCATTTTGATCCTTGAGTGAAAATGGAAGGTGGCATTTCACACCCCTGGAGATGTCCCTTCAGTCCCTCCAGCGTCTGTATTTTGTGGTGTTGGTGTCAATCTTGTGCATGAGCAAACGGAGTGGCCTGGACAGTCGTCGGGGTGAGCCAGCAAGTTTGCCTGGTCAATGTTACAAAATCACCAAATAGGGTTCCTGACCTGCAGGGACGGTGGACTTGCCAGTCCTGAGATGAGCGCTGTTCTCCTGGAGGACTGCAGACCATTGCTGCCCACAGGGTATCTCTGCCAAAGGGACATAAAATCAAACACTGCTGCATTTGTGGTCTAAGGGCTCCTTGGTTCCTGTGGACAGGGCTTTTGGAGGAAAGGATGTCCAATTTGAGACATGTCCAAAGAGATTTGCAGAGTTGAAACTGCCTTCTGCTGCCCTTAAATGCAGAGACTCCCAATGGAGAGGTAGAGGGTAAAAGTTCAGTAACAAACAGTTGTAAAACTTGTGTTGTGGCTGGCCTCCGTATGGCAGTGCTGTGCAGAAATCTGTCTCCTGGTTTGTTTAGTTGGCTTGGTGTCCATCCTGGGGGAGAAACAAGGTGACGGGAGGAAAGGGAGGACACGGAGAAAGCTCCTTTGGTGATCCTGTTGGAAGGGTGTCAGAGCCTCCCTCATGGTGAATCCCTTTCATTTGACACTTGAGCTTTTCTTGAAACTGAGATGATGTAATGGTACATACTGATGGGGCCAAGCCTCTTGAGTTCCTCACCTCTGCTTCTGCTGAGTGAGTTTCTGGAGGTTTCACAGTCAGGTCCCCCAAACCACCTCTTCCCCTGCAGATGAAGTTCTGTGCTGGAGAAGAGGGACCATGAAGAACATCAGGTTATTCTTTGGGTCACAGCTAAGTCTCTGGGTATCAACCTTGATGCCTACACCTTGCACCAAGCATCTTGGTCCTCGCTTCTTCAGGCAAAGCCTCTGTGCTGCCCAGCAGGCGCAGGCAGGGGAGGAGGTAAGGAATGTGTCTTCTGCTCTCACCTACACCTTCATCCCCTCCCTGCAAGACAAAGGGAGGGTGCTGGTGCCCATTGGGGCTGGGTGCTTGCTCTCCCGGCTTCCTGCACGAGGCTGGCAGATGTTTCTTGTTTGCTGGAGCTGCGTGGCTCTGGCTACTGGGCTGGGAGCAGTCGCCGCTGCCAGGCGGAAGCACTCGGTGAGGCTTTCCTAGACAGCTTTGAATGGGAGCCAGGAGCCCTCTCGCTACAGGAGAAAATCCACGAGGTCAGGAAATCCAGCAGCAGCAGCTCCGGCTCCACGCTGGGGTTCTTGGCTTGGCACGCAGATCCCAGCCCTCCTCTTCCCGGACGGTGCTCCTGGACGGCTCTCCTCCAGACCATCTCAGCTGTTTGTTTGACAGCCCTGCGCAGCTCTTGGGGGGCACAACAGTTGAGTACTGTGGAGGTGATAAATTAGTATAGGCAGGGAAAACACCAGGCGGTGACCTGGGTCAGGCTTTCAGATCCTGAAGAGCTTCCAGAGGGTGGAAGAAGCACTGCTCCTGCTCAGTGTGGGACTAGGAGACTGTGCTTTCCTGTTTCCCTCTGTTATTTTGTGGTCAGCTCTGTCTGGGCTCCAGTTAGCTGCTGAGAAATAGAAACTCTTGTTTATCCTCCTCTGGAAATCCTCACATCAGGAGAAGCTTTCACAACAACAAACCTCCATCCATCCAGCGTGTCCCCAGACTGAGCGTGAATACTTAGGGAGTCTGTTAACATCTCTCTGGCAGGAGCCCCACTCTTTCTTCCCTGCCCCTGTTTTTTAGGAGAGCCAGAAACATTGTCTTTGGGATGGCTGTTCCTTGAACCAGCCCATGGTGGTGATGTTCATGAGGCATCGAAATATGTGCATGCATCAATGAGCAGCCCTTGCTCTTCCCATGGTCAGGAGCAAAGAGGTTGATGGGGAGCTGTGAGATGGTGTTGGTAAGGTCAACTTTGGGATAAGACCAGCTGTCCAACTCTGCAACAGAGCCTGACCATATGGAAGTCCCTGCTTTCCCCACAGCCTTTGGGCCAGGTTCCCTCTCCCGTAGCACTTGCATGTGGGGGGTTGGACTCCCCATCCTCTGCAAGCTGCAGAATTTCTCCTGCCGTTGCTGGGGTGAGGATGGTGTGTGGAGTGGTGAAGAGTTCATCAAGGCACCATCACCTTCTAGGTAACACCTATGTTACAGAGTCCTTGTATGTAAATCATCCGTGTGCTGGCCATGAGGGGTGGGGAGCAATAGCTTTTTCACCCCCCTCGTTTCCCCTACCTTTTGGGCAGGTGCAGAGCAGGGAGGCTTGGCTCTTCTGTTTCTCTGGAGGAGCCAGAGCTCAAAGCTCTGGGCTGGGGTGGTGATGTGCAGGGCTTTCTGCTGTGTGGTTGCCTCTCCACTGCACAGCAGAGCTCAGCTGGGGTCCGGAGCAGGGGAAGACCCTTAAGCTGCTGCGGGTGACCACCTCGGCCCTCACCTCCTGCTGCAGTGTGGACCGGGAGGCTGGTGTGGCTATGTGGGCTGGGGGGCTTCTGAAGGGACAGGCCAAGCAGTGCCTTCCACTTTGGGCGGTCATTTCCCCCACCATCACCACTTTTCCACCACAATTAATGACCTTCAGCTTCAGAACAGAGGTTCTTCACTTGGAACACAACCAGAGGTGCTGCTTGGCATCGTCTTTGTGCTGCGCTTGCTCTTTTGCACCCCCTCCCTTGCCCTTCTTCAGGATCCTGGATGCTGAGAAGGGCATGAGCTTTGTTTGCCTTCCCATTACGAGACAGCAGCTCTGAAAAGGGCTTTGGCAAGAGGCGGTTGCGTCTGTCTGCTCCCAGCTCAAGTGGGTGATTGAGCTGTCTGAGTGGTTTAGGGTTGCATTCAGGTGGGGATTGAAAGCAGAAAGTTCTGGCCTCCTTTCCATTAGATCTTTGCTGCGTGAGCAAATGCCTCGGGTGAAGGCTGGGTCTAGAGTAGCCTTTGCCGGCACAGTTTGTACCAGCTTCCAGGGTTTCAGGAACGGGGCTGGCGAGCCCAGGGAGGTGGGTGGATTGAATTAACTGTGTGGGGGGGTGGCTCTAATCCCCGTGCAATGGTGTTGGAGGCTGCATCGAATGGCGACCGGCCAGGGGAACCATGTGCTCATCTTCTCACTAGCCGGTGGCTTCCCCAGAGCTTGCAGATGACGGCTGTGGACAAGTATCTGACCCTGGGGTGACTTTCAGTGGGCAGGAGTTGCAGTCCAATGAGGGTGGATTTCTACTTAAACCTTTGGGGTTTTGTAATCTTCTGAGTTAAAGTTTCTCTTTCTCGGTGGAGTTGGAGCAGAAATTTAAGGGAGGAGGTGGGGGAGATACATTTTCTCTTGCTGAAGGACCTTGGCAAGTACATGGTGCTGCAGAAATGTGGTTTGCTTGTCCTGACCCTAATCATCATCCCCAATTAGCACCATTCATGATAGCATCTCTTGCTCCCCAGCAGGACATGCCAGCTTTACCGCAGGGGTGCCCCTTCCACGGTCCTCCTCCCTCTTGCAATGGCCAGCACGGTGGGAGGCATTGTTAGCCAGAGGACGGGCAGAGGGTGTGGATGTGCCACTGTCTCAAACCTGCCCTGTGGTTTGATGTTTAATGCAGCCTTGAGGGTGAAAACATGGAGCTAACAGCATATCTGGGGCGGTCTGGGGCTTCTTCCCTGCTCCTGTGGGCATTGATATCCAAAATGTTGGCCAAGGCTTTAAAATCTATCTGATGATTTTGGATTGCCAGCTTGAGATGAGGCAAATTGGAGACAGTGCTGAGCACTTGTGGAAAACCAGACATCTTAAAGTGGTTACTTCAGGGCGGGCTGTTGATTTACGCAGCCTGAACCTCTGTTTCCTTATCAGTAACACCCCCTTACCTCTTGAGGTTTGCTCAGGGAATGAGTAAAATTTGCATCCAGCCCATCAGGCTGAAGGATTGCAGCATTATCACAGGGTAAACATGGTCTTGTATTCAGTTTGATGGATTATTTTGCCCATTTTAAAGTAACCCTCATTACTAGTGGGGATTATTAAGTTAATGAGCTCTGGATGCTGCCATTCTGCGCTGTACTTCTAGGCCAAGTTTCGTGCTTTTAGGTGAGGCTATCTCATGTTTGAGACCCCAGAGCACTAGACCACAAAAGCAAAAGACAGACAGTGGATCCTGGAGGCACAGGACGGGGTGACAGACTGAAATGAGTGTAACTTTTGCTGGCTAGGTTCCCAGGGCAGTCACTTGCTGGGTGGGAAGAAGGTAAGAAAGTCCTTGACCATTGAGGAACATGGGCCATCCCACCATCTCCCCACGTGCAGGCCAGGCTCGCCTGCGTCGTGTGTCTGCGAGCTTGAGATGAGAGACCAGGGTGGTCCTGGAGCAGAATGCCCTGCGGTGGCAATTTCATGGATGATTTCATAAAGCTACATGAAAAGCATGGTGCATCCCTGATGGTTGCTTGTTGGTTTTCACCCTGAGGGGTGGCTCTTTGCCATCCGGAATAGGAGTGAAGTGGGTTTACCTTGTCCCATCCTCAATCCCTACTGAAGTCAAGCAACTTAAAAGACCATTAAAACCTTGAGGGGTGCGTCCCTTCACCTCTGCCTTGCAGAATTTGGTGTCTCTGTGTTACAACGCGCCAGATCCCAGACCTCGGTGTCGACCTCGCGGCATTTGAGTGCTCCTGGGATGTGCAGGGAACACTGGGAATGCTCGGTACCTGAGGAATGAGGCTGTGCTTTGCAGATTTCCACCTTTCCTGACGGAAAAGGAGGGGCTGACCGCTCAGCCCTGCTGCAGAGCAAGTGGTGACGGGGAGGGACACCCCTCTCCTAATGCGGCGGACGTGTTTCTCTTTGCAGGTGGTGGTGCTCCTGGAATTCCTGAGCTGGGGTTGGCTGGAAGATGACCGAATATAAGCTGGTGGTGGTGGGAGCTGGTGGTGTCGGGAAGAGTGCTTTGACAATACAGCTCATTCAGAACCATTTTGTTGATGAGTATGACCCCACGATAGAGGTAAGTGGCTCTGGGCATATGGGGTCTGTCCATCTGCCCATTTTCCTCTTGCTCTTCTCTACCTTGTCTGCAGCCCAGAGTGTGCTCGGCTTGGTCTCAAGTCTGAACTTGAGCAGGGGTGTTCCTCTGCTTCGCAGAGCTATTCTGAGTCACTACGTGCGTGTTCGGAGGTCACAGCGACCGACTCGTGCCTCCTGCAGAAGGACAGCGGTGTCTGCTGACGAGAGACGGCGAGGGAGGCAGCAGAAGTGGGCAGAGCCGGGCAGGGGCCGAGAGGCAGCGCAAAAGTCCTCCTTTCTGATGAGACAACAGCGTAGGGAGGGGTTAAAGGTTTGGGATTGAAGAGCCATTTTGTGCCTGCGCTTCCATTTCTCCTCCTGTGAAAGCAGAGTAAATATATTGCCTTCTTGTGCAGGTTGTTTTGAGATTTACTGATGAAATGGATTTTATCAGAGCTTGGTGGGATTACGGACGTCCTGCAGTTTGAGCAAGACGTGCCGAGCAGCTGAACGGTTGTTCCCAGGGTGTTTTCCTCTGCCCCATTGTGAGGATTTAAAGATTGCCGTGTAGGTCTCGTAGTTGGGATGGATGATAGCACTGGCTCGTCTAGCTCAGCACCCTGCCTGGAGAAGCAGGCAGGGACCCTGTGCTCCTCTAGGCTGTGCAGGGGGGTGTGTGTCTCGTCTTCAATATGCGTTACACTATTTTTTACTTCTTAAGAATATATTCCGTTCTCTGACTGCTTTCACTGTTGCTAGCGAGATGCTAATTACCCCCTGCATGACTTACACCTTCTTTCAGGGGAGATGTAGGCAGCAGCTGCTGCTCTGCACGAGGAGCAAGTCCACCCTGGGAAGGCAAATTACAGCTTTGTCATGCCTCTTGGACAATAACCTCCCTGTCTGCATTCCTAAGGGATTCTCTACCAGATGTGTATAAATGCAGCTGTGGTTGCTGCAGTTATTATTATTATCATCATCATGGCTAAAAGGCCCCAGCTGGGATCAGAAATCTATTCTGGTAGGTGTTGTATGTGTAGTCCCCACCCCGAAGGGCTCACAACTTAAATAAACAAGTAACACAAGGCTTGGTAGAAAGGCAGAAATAATCTTACATTTCTACAGACAGGAAGGAGAGAAAGCACTTAAAAGCACGTGCTATTACATCATTTGGCCAAGGTCGCCTAGAAAGTCCGCAGCAGAGACTGGAATTTAATTTAAGGGCTCCCGAGTCTTGGTGCTGCACCTTGCTGATGGATGCAGTTGCCTTCTTCCCCAACTCCTCTCCTCTCGTGTGCCTGTCACCAGCAGCATCGTCACCAGCAGCATCATATGCTTTTCTTAGAAACCCATTCCAGATTGTTTTCAGCAAAAGAGCTGCTGATGGAAAGCAACCTCCCTGGGGGAGACATCTGCATGGATGGGTCCTCCCTTGGACCTTAGGGTGAGCAGAGGCAGCTCTGATCCAGTAGTGTTTTGGGTTTTGGCATCCTGGGGTTTTTTTGTCTCCAGCTGCCTGCCCTCCCTGTATGTACCCTGCAGGAAATTTTCTCCATGTAAACAGGCAGCGGGGAATGTAAACCTTGCATGGCATTTCCCAGCACACCCTCCTCACCCTGCTTGCTCCTGCTGTGCCCTGGGAGACGCCTGCTCTCCTCCTCTGTTCCCCCCAGCCCCACTCAGCTCTTCTCCTCCTCTTTTCTTCCTAAAGCAGCCACAAGCTGCTCTTCATCCCTCTCGCCCCTGCTGCTTTTCCACCTGCAGGTCCCACCAGCCCTGATGCCTTTGCAGCTCCCTTGGTCATGTCCCCCCCGCCCCAGCCATCTCAGTCATTCCAGGGTGACTTTTAATTATGCTTCATTTTACGGGGATTGAAGATGCACGGAGTTACCTGCCAGCCGTCTGAATGTGACCACCTAACCACACTCCTATGACTAAGCTGCTTTGGATCGTGCCCAGGAGCTGACTCTGTTCAGCCAGCTAGCAAACAGCGCAGCGATGCTGAAATGAGCAGGATAAAAGGGGGGAAAAAAAAAACCAACCCAGAGTATACGTGCACAGAGCAAAGGCTTTACCCGTTGCTTAAATGAATGGAGCGCAGGCTGTGCTGCTGCAAAGAGGGGTGCAAGCGGGCCTGGGGGCACTGAGAAGATGCTCGCCAGGGCAGGAGGGGTGGAGAAGTGAGTTTGAGGCAGAGACCCCGATGGAGTGCCTGCTCCCCTCCCGACTCACTAGTGGGAATGTCTGGCTTTGTAACTCTACGCCAGCCAGCTCACCACAGCACGTGCTCGTACGCCTGTTCCTGGGCTGCCGAGGAGTCTTAAGACCTTTATTTTGGGAACAGGAGGGCCAAGGCACCAAGGAAATTTATGCTGCTGGCAGTGTCCCGTGGTGCCTAAGTGGGGATGGAGTAAAGAGTTCTGTGTTGAGAAATTCTTCGGTTCGCCTTCCAGCTTTTAGCAGTCACCTCATAACAGGTTTTCCAAGCCTCTGGTCATATCCTGACTGTAGTATTTAACAAATGGACCTCTTGGCCTGGTCCCCCGGCACACCTGGGGTGCTCCCAGCATCTGTCTGGGATCCGGAGTCTGAACCCCAGGCGGAGGTTGTTTCTGCCACCTGGCACTTCACAGCTGGGTCTGGCCGCTTCCCCTTGTGCAAGAAGGTGGGGTAGGATATGGGGGGGCTGCAGAGGGGCTTCGAGGCTGTGGGGTGACAGTGGCTGGGCATGTGGGCTGGGGGCAGCTACCCCTGCGGTGGCAGCCAGGTCACTTGGCAGCATGGCAGGGATGGCTGAGCCACCATCCTGAGCATCCTGGGGTGGGGTTGGATGAAGCTGGACACAAAGCAAGGGTGGTGGGGAGAGCTTTGTCCCCTTCCTTTGGGGAGCGGGCTGCAAAGCATCCTCTGCGAGACTGTTAATGCTTCTGTTCCGTGAGCAAGCTGGCTGGCCTTGTGGGCAGCCTGTTGCTGACCTGAGCTGAGGTGTGGGATGGCTTCTTTGTAGGCGTGCTGGCTGCTGGCGAGACCTCGGGTAACTGGGGACTTGGCAATTAATTGCGAACACACGTGCTGATAGTCGGTTCCCCTGGACACAAGCCAGGGCTCGGGGGTGGGAGGATGCTCTGTTGGGCAGGGCAGGTGCTGGGGTCCCCTTTGCCGGTCCCTTCCAGGTACTGGGACCCCAGAGGTAGAACCAGCGCTCTTCTGCCTTGCACCGAGGAGGCTCCAGATAAGTTACTTAGGAGAAATGGGAACGCATCCCTGCAGGGCAGCCTGCCAGTTGCCTTCAGAGCAGTTGGCTGGAAGCCAGCCCGTCACTCTGCACTTATTCCCAGTGGGTCAGCAGTCCCCTTTTTGGGAAGACACGGCCAAGGCGGTTGTGGCGGAGCAATCTCCTCTGATTTTGTGGCACTCTCCACAAGGTGAGGAAAGACTTTAATTAGCCCCAGTAAATGATGTTGTTGTAGTAACGAACCAAAGGGTGGGAGGGCCACATTGTCCCCATTCCCTTTCCGTGCCGCTGATGGTCCTGTTGGTGACCTTTGCTGCGTCGGCTGTTTGTCTGCGGACCTGCAAAGCTCATCTGATAACATTGTTGTCGTCGTTGGAAGAGCAGCAGACGTTTGAATTAATTTTAAACTGCAGCCATGGCCTCTGGAGTGGCTGCAAAGCACTGTCATGCTCATATTGCTGACTTGCAGCTTTTCTATACCCTTGGTTTTGGCTTACTTCTCTTGCTGAGAGGCGAGGATGCTGTGGGACGGCTGTCGGGGAGCGAGGAGGCTGTTCCTCCATGCGGGGGGCTGCCCTTGCAGCATCCCTGATGATGAGACCAGGCATGGAGGAGAGGCATGGTGGGGAGGAGTGGTGCTTTGAGCAGCCTGCCTTGAAAATGAAACCTTTTGAGGGATGCCCTGGGTGATTTCCAGGCCTTCTCACGTCTGCGATAAGTTGCAATTGCCTCTGCTGCAGGGAAAAACTCCAACTTCAAAGGATCTGCCTGGATAGTGCTTACCTCTCCTGGAGCCCCCTGGGCACAGCCTGGTTGTGGGAAACACCCTCCTCAGAGTGTGATGGTTTGGGTTTGGGGTTTTTTTTTTTCCCCTCATGTTTGAAGAGGAGTTTTACCTTCAAGCCCAGTTTACAGCCTTACTGGTGGCATATCACCTCTGGTGCCTCAGCTGAGCTGTGTTAGAGGTGCTGGATTCACAGGTGATCTTAAACCCCTTCCAGCCCTGCAGATCACAGATGGTGGCTGGAAGCCCTGGCTGGCTGGAGCCACCTTTCCTGGGTGTCTGTCCCCTTCCAGCACCCAGGCAGGGCGGCAGCAGAAGGGATTAGCAGGAACTAAATAAAGCTTAGGAAAATAGTTGTTGAGGGCTGTGTGGGTATGGTAGAGACAAAGCTGCCTCTGGTCTGCCAGGGGCAGGGCTGGGAATGGGGAGAGCAAGCCAGGGGCTATCTTCTCTGTGGCTCTCCCAGAGAAGGGCAAACCTGCTCAGCTGCTCCCTTTTTCTTTTTTTTTTTTTTTCTTTTTTTTTTTTTTTCTTTTTTTTTTTTTTTCTTTTTTTTTTTTTTTCTTTTTTTTTTTTTTTCTTTTTTTTTTTTTTTCTTTTTTTTTTTTTTTCTTTTTTTTTTTTTTTCTTTTTTTTTTTTTTTCTTTTTTTTTTTTTTTCTTTTTTTTTTTTTTTCTCTTTTTTTCTTTTTTCTTTCCCTCCCATTTTTGAAACTGATTGAGTCAGCTATTTAATGGGAGCTAAACCCAGGCAGAGCATGACCCGGCATCTTCCCAGGGATGCACTTGTTGCATCTTTTCGCTTGGCCAGACCCAAGCCCTCCCTTGAAGTGTCTTCCTCCCTTTCTCTCCCTCTCCCGGCCTGCAGGATTCCTACAGAAAGCAAGTCGTCATTGATGGAGAGACATGCTTGTTAGACATCTTGGATACTGCAGGGCAAGAGGAGTACAGTGCCATGAGAGACCAGTACATGAGAACGGGGGAAGGATTCCTCTGCGTCTTCGCCATCAACAACACCAAGTCCTTTGAAGATATTCACCAGTACAGGTCGGTAGCCTGGGAAGGGCCCCTTCCCTCTTGCCCTGGGCAAAGGGGGAGGCCTCGCTGCTGCACCCTCCTGCCCTCCCTTTTAGATCAGGCCCTGCGGTGGAAGCACTGGCCGCCAGCAAAGACAATTAGCTCAAGTGGCCATTCCCCAGGGAAGAGACGGAGCAGACGGCTAATGTCGGTGACTCCGATAAAACCCATCCGAAGGGATTGCTTGTGGCCTTTGGGGACTCGGTAATGTAATGTTTAAGTGTTTATGGTGACTAAAGAGAGAGCTGATCCTCTATGACCCCCTCCCTTCCCTCCTAATTAATGGAATTGCTTTGTTAGCGTAATCGATCTCAGCGACTTCTGCTGGGCTTGGGAGCTGGGAGAGGAGGCTGGGAAGGGCCGGGAGGGCTGCCTCCCCTGCTGGCAACCCCTGTGTCGAGGCTGTGGTCTGCGGGCTGCACACATGTGGGGAGAGGCAGCCTTGGCCCGTTGGAGCTCAGCTTCAACCAGGGCAAAGTCGGAGCAGGAGGAGAGTCAGAGCCCAACCAGATGCCTTGCCCAAGAGTATGTACTGGGGGCAGCGGCAGAGCCGGGGCCCCATCCTGGCGTGGTCCTGCTTTGGCTGCACCCAGGTTACCCATCCCACTTCTCCGCTCTGCTGCCACCACCAGAGAGCTGGAGGGCCAGGGAGATTGTATAAATGCAGTGGGACTCTTTCCTGGTTACCCTGATGCTTGCTTAGGGAGCGATCTCTGCTTTCTGCCTTTTTTTGAGGCTTGGCTATGATGGGGGGCGCTTGCAGAGGATGCCAGAGATGGCTCTGCCTGTCCCCGCTCTGCCCACTGCCCACCAAGGGGCTGTGTGCCCCAGTCCTCGTCATAAACCTGGCTCCCCAATAATCCTGTAGCTCCGAGCACAGGCACAGCCCCTCCTTGCTCCATAGTCAGAGGCGCTGCTCCAAGCTCTTGAGATGTCTTAGTCTTTGGCTAGCAGGCGTGTTCAGCATAATAACTATATGGTTGGACTAATTTGGCTTGTTTTAGCTGAACTGGAGGACAAAGGATGGGATTTTCCTAAAGCACCTGAGGGATTCGGCAGCATTCATCCTTGTGCCGAGGCTGGTGCCTGTGAATCACTCGCAGGATGGCTCGATTTCAGGCCCTGGTTTTAATCATGATGTAAATCACTGTCTTTCATCTCGTTTCGCCTGTGCTCTTTGTGTTTGCACTTTTAAAAGAATATTCCCCAGAGAAACCCTGGCTGTCCCTGGTTAGTAATCATTAGGAGGTATCTCTTTTCAGCTAAGTGTAGCCCGTGCACTAAATTTAGTACTTGCATTTGCTGATCAGGATGTTACATGGAACATTTAAGTGGCTTTATGGCATCTCATCCATATAGTCAGACTTCATTTCTATGTTCCACTACATTAAAAAAAGATGATTGGGGGTTTTGTGTGTGATACATGTCCAGTTACTTTTAGGTGGAAATTCGAATTCAATTAAAGTGCAGAAATCAGCATTTTAAGTAATGCTTTTATTAGTTAAATAAAACCATGTTAAATGCTCTGGATGCATGAGCATGGAAAAAAAAGGCTGTTTTGCATCTGAAGTTAAATGATTTACTAAGCAAAGGAAGTTATTAGCTATCAGGAGGGAATTCAATGGATTGTTTGCGGTCATAATGGCCTTTAAGATTTTTTTTTTTTTTAGAAGCGTTAGATCTCATCCTCGCCCACCTACTTTTAAATCCGAGGTCGGAAAGAAGAAGTGAGCATTACAGCTTTTTTTACTTCCCAGTTGGTTTCTCAACTTTGAGTGACCTGAACTAAACTGAAAGGGAGCAAATACTGCCTGTGCATCTGCAGAAAAGGTCATGGCTGCCAAAAGCTGGCTTATCAGCTCAGCAAGTTCTGGTTGCAGGTGGTTGTTTGGTTTTTGGTTTCTTTTTTTCCCATTCAGGGGGATTACTTGATCTAAAATGTTGGAAATAACACAGGTAACTGCTTGAGTATTCATTTTTCTTTAGCTTAAACTATCTTAAGCTCATGTCTTAACATAGATTGTCGTAGTTTCAAGTTGTGTTTTGTGAACAGTTGCATTTAAGAATCATAGACTCATAGAATTCAAATAGAAATCAAAGAGCAGAAGTATGTTTAGTTTTCATTTCCAAAAGTGCCCTAGCTATTTTGCTGTTTACTTACTTACGTGCCATGGTCACTTACATTCTCTTGAAAGCCCAACAGAAGGAACCTGGCAGGAATGAAGCGTATGTGTTAATTCTTGGCGAAGAAGTTGGTGGGGAGTGTCCTGGAGTTGCCCCCTGCTCTCCCTTCACTTTGGCACCTCTTACTCTTGCAGGGAGCAGATCAAGAGGGTGAAAGACTCAGACGATGTTCCCATGGTGCTGGTGGGAAATAAATGTGACCTACCAGCCCGGACAGTGGAGACCCGGCAAGCGCAGGACCTGGCCCGGAGTTATGGGATCCCCTACATAGAAACATCTGCCAAAACCAGACAGGTAGGAGGAGGGTTTTAAACAAAATCTTCTTTTTTCTTCTCTTCAGTGCTGTCCTGGAGAGGCAGGAACAGGCAGACAGACACTACCTTGCAGACAGATGGGTGCAAGGGCCAGTGTTAGTTGCTTCCTCAAGGCTAAATGCTCCATCAGGACATTCCCTCCCCTGTCGGGGCTTGACCTCCAGTCTGGAGAAGTGTATAATTCATGCTCTGGCAGCAGCGAAGGGAAGATGCACTCCAGGGCGTTCTCCAAGGCTCTGGAATAACCCCCATAGTCAGTGCAGGTCAGCTAAGCTCAGGGGACTTGGCTAACCTCATCCATGGTCTATTTTGGCAGACCTACAGGCAGAATATACCAGTGCTGAAAGGATCATGAGGGGCTCCCAGGGCACAAAGGTGAAAATGGAGCAGCTGATATCTTCAGTGGTCTAGTGGTAGCTTTTCTCTTGGGTTGGTAGACCCCATTCAGGCTGCTGAAAGCTGATGAATCTCAAGGACTTAAGAGCTCCTTGGCCTTATGGTTGCTCAATCTTGCTCTCTGTTCAGGGGCCACAAGATCCCTGTTAAGTCTTCCCAGCTTGGTTTCGTGCCTTTAACTCTGCAATCTGCACTGCTGGAAGACAGTGCTAGGGACACCTAGCTGGGGAGCAGAGCCCTCTCTTCTCTCCATTGTCCCCTCTCGAAGCGGGCAGCTGCTTCAAGCAATGCTTTTCGTCCAGGGCGTTGAAGATGCCTTCTACACCTTGGTGCGGGAGATCCGTCAGCACAAGCTGCGCAAGCTGAATCCCCCGGATGAGAGTGGCCCCGGCTGCATGAACTGTAAATGTGTGATATCGTGACTATGGTGAGTTTTGGAAGCAGGAGATGGGGTGCAGGGGGGTTATATTGGAAGCAGGAGGTGGGGTACAGCGGGGGTATATTGGAAGCCGGGTGGGAGGTGACTGCAGATGCGCTCGTCTGCAAACAAATGCAGCAGAAACAATTTCAGCAATGGGTATTTTTTAATGAAACACCTTTTTGACTGAAATACCATTTTTCCGTCAAAACATAGGTAAGTCAAAATTCCCAGTTTCCTGAGGAAGTGTGTAGGAGGAACGGGTTGTTTATTTTTCCCCCTTCATTTTGTGGAACAGAATTCTACAGAGCTGAATAAAAAAAAAAAATACATGTTTTGTTGTGCTTCCCCCGGGGAAGCTCCTTCCCATGCTGCCCCTCTGAAAGAGGCGTTAAACTGGTGGTGACGGAGTGCGCCTTGCTGCGCCTTCACCAGACTGGCCCTAGAAGAGCTCAGGTGAAGAGGTGGGTGGGCGCATTGCCTCCTAATGCATTCGTGAAAATTGCCTTGTCCTAAAGCTTCAGAGCAGGCCTTTCTCACTGTGAAAGTCCTGTGTTCCTCGGAAGAGTTTTCCCCATTAGATATATCCCCTAGGATATTTGGAACTGATGCAGTGTGGAGAATTAGCCATAAGGGGGCTGTTTTGCTTTTATAAATTGCGCGTGTTGGAGCCAGAAACAGTGTTTTTCGGATTGTCCGTGTCCACTTGCCTGTTTTTCTTTCTTTTTTTCTTGGTTTTTTTTTTTTTAATGATTTTATTTAAATCATCGCAATCCTGCTGGATAGTAGCGAGGGCGAGCTCCCATCATTGTCCCTGTGTGAGCTGGGTGGCCTTAAGCCAAACGGCTGGGAACATCTGGCTGTGTAACCAGCTCCTGTGGCAGAAGTGGAGAGAGGGGCAACTGGGGATAAGATGCACATCTAAGGGCATCTGGGACCAGGGTGTGGGGGGAAAACCCTGCATGAACGTTGCTCTTAATGCCTTTTGGGGAGTTTCCCAAGCACCCGGACTGGCCCTTCACCTCTTCATACAACTGCTGGAGTCCAAAAGAGAAGCGTGTCATGTCCAGAGATGGTGCTGAGAGGGTCTTGCTGAAGGTGGAGGTGGGCAGCTGTTTTTCTTCCATCGCTTTTTGAACCAAAGGCCGTGAGCACAGCAGAGCTCTTCCCTGGGAAAATAATAATAATAATAATAATAAAAAGCCTGGCAGCATTTGCTTCTTACAAGCAAAAAAACCACCCAAGAACCCCACCCCTCCACTCCCAGCTGAGGTGCGTGAGGTCTCCTGGGGGCTGAGCTGAATGCTGTGCCCAGCACATTTAACCGCTGCTAAGGGAGGTTTTCCAGATGTTCAGGTCCTCCAGATGTTCAGAAGCGTTTCCTCCGGATGGGGATGTGAGCTCGGGGCTCGTTTCCTGCTCTGGCTCACAGCTCGGGCTCGGCGGACGCTGCTGCTCCCCTACGCCGACTGCCAGGAGCACGGTCCCTGTCACAGCCCGGTGGTCAGCACCGGCATAGGCAGTGCCTTCAAAAAGAGAGGCGAGAAGGGGTGAGAAGGAGTCTCTTGGAAACACTCCCCTTTGTTAAGAGAGCATGCCCTGTGAGTTGCCCACATCTTTTTCTGCTCGGGCAGAAACTGGAAACCAGACATCCCAGCTTATTCTAGCTGCAGTGGCCAAGAGCAGAGAGGGAGGAACATAAGGGCACGAAAGGGGAAGCAAGGCAAGGACATGCTGGGTTTTTGGGAGGAGAAGGGTGGGTGTGCGGCCAGGGAGCCAGGGAGATTTGGCTGCATTTGCCCTGGAATCACTTTGTGGTTCCCATCGTCCCTGGAGGAGGGAGAAAGATCTGAGCAAACAGTGCCCCTTCCCACAACGAGGTTTGGACAGAGGCAGAAGGTCTGGTGAGACACCCAAGGCTCACCCATCACTCTACGGATCATTTGCTTGTTCCCTTCAGCACATGTGGGATGCTTTGCTGAGCCAGGTCCAGAGCTCCAAGCCCTTTGTTTTCTGTGGGCACTAGCAGGGTCATCCCAAAATGTGAGGGGTGGGTAATAGAAACAGCCCCTGCTGGTTCTGATGACGAATGGGTGCTAACGAGTGTCCTCTTCTGGTTTCAGCCGACTGGATGGTGTCTTGGAGAGGTTCCACTGTGCAGAGCGCAAGGAAAGGGGTGAAGCGAAGGAAGAAGCAAACGGATTCAGGGGAGGAGTATAGGGGGAGGGGGAGAGGAGGAGGAGGAGGAAGAGGACGGGGGGAGCATGAGCCCCTCCAAGGACTATCTCGCACTTCACCCAAGCCTGCGGCAAACAACTTTTTTCTTTTTTTTTTCTTTTTTTTTTTTTTTTTTTTCTTTCCCCATCCCCTCCTCCTTTGGCCTCCTCCCACCCCGGCAACTGTACAAAGCCACAGATTGAATCACAGTAAATTATTATTTGATGGTCTCAACAAACCGTCTTGATGGCTGTCTCCTCCTGCCAGAGGCTGCTGCTGCTGGTGCTCTGGGAGGATCGCTGGTGGGGATGGCGGGGAGGGAAGGGTGCTGAGGTTTGCTCTCCATGGACCAAGGGCATGCTGGAGACTGCGAAGGGGATC